AATTTTTGTAGCTTTATTTTTTTAGATAATATAATAGTCTCTAATATAGAAATATACCAAAATAAAAAGTTTTTGGTTTATTTAAATAATATAATAGTCATAAATAGTTTCACATTATTATCGTTAGAAATAAATCGTTCTTCTATGTAACTCGAACTCAAGACCCCCTTAAATGAGAGTCTTAAGTGTCAGAGGTGGGGACTAAGTGGATCAATGTTAGAGATACACCGAAACGGAGTACTCATTTGTATATCAAGTATTCACAAACACACATAAACACTCGATCAATATCTCTGCATGTACAGATATTAAATATAAGAAGTGTGTGTGAGTGATATGTACCCTAGGTTAAATGTCACCTCTTTAAAACACAACATTTGATGTGATGTATGTGCTAACATTTAGGAGAGAATATATCAATAGCCTTTTTTGTTCCTTAAAATTAAAATCCAACAAAAGTAGCATTAGCTGATGACCAAACTTCATTTACACTTAGGGGCTGTTTGGCAACTTCTGAATGGGTAAGTGCTGAACCAGTAAGAGGTCTGAATCATTAAGTGCTGAACCAGTAAGATGTCTGAACCATCAAGAGCTAGTATATTGCTTAACTATTCAGAGGCAAATGTATGATCAATTCAGATAACATCTCTTAACCATTCAGACTCTGTATAATACTTAACCATTCAGAGGCAAATATCTTAACCATTCAGACATCTGAACCATTAAGAGGCTGAAACAAACAGTCTGAATCATTAAGTGCTGAATCATTCAGATATCTGAACCATTAAGAGGCTGAAACAAACAGCCCCTTAGTTATAAGTGGCCTTTGTTGTTATGTTTCACCTGTAAAATCCTCTGCCCTCTCCTATGAGTGTTGACCACATTCCAACTTTGACTGAACAAATTGACATGGTTCAGCCTTCTAAATGATATTTAATAACAATATTCAGATTTAACATTTTTAAAGTTTATGCATGTATACTGTAAAAAAATTTAATCAAAATACTAATGATAATTGAAAAACACTATTAGCAAACAAAACCTTCATTTTCGTGCACCAAATTAAACTCTTATTTCCATTGACCATTTGATATAATAAAATATTTTTTTCACGTCTTATTTTGTTGATTTTTTTATTTAATTTTTTAAATATGTAAATTTTATTTTTTATTTCTTTACTAATGGTTTTGTAATATCATGGGTATATTGAGATCAATGTATTTCTTTGTTTATATATAGTTCTAGTTAAGGATATTCTAATCGAATGATATTTTAATATTACACATTTTTATTTTGAATATTTAAAAGTTAAATTTAAAACTATTCTCGAACGAAGCCTTATATACTTATAAATATGCATGCATCTCTCAACTAAACCATTGTTGGGATTTGAAAAGTTTGTGACAAATTAAATTATTTTATAAATGACCAATTCAGTCAAGGATAGTTAGAAACTATTTGAAAAAAAATTTCAAATCCAGCTATATACTCCGTCTCTCCAAATATATCTTTCCGTTACGCGTTATGATATTTGACTAAATTTATTTCAAATCAATTTATATTAAAAAATGGTGTGAATTAAGAAATAAAAATTATATATTTAAAAAACTATATCAAAAGATCTACAAAACTAGATGTGATATGACTATATTATTTTGTCAAATAGACAATAAAAATAGACCAACAAAGTAAATAAAATTTGAACATGTGGATAGTGAATTAGAAGATAAATTTTGGACTAAGAGAGAGATTACACACACATAAAATATGTGTGTTTATTTTTCTTTTTCTTAATTCATGTAGAAGTATATAAACTCTCAAGCTAAGTCAAGTCTTTGTGTTTCCTTGAGTTTTTCTTTATTTTAATGAAGCTTCCTTTTTTTTTCATTTTTTCTTCTAGTTAGGGCCTGTTTGGGAATAGCGTTAGAGATTAGCGTTAGCGTTTTGGATAAAATTTTAACGGTGCAGATCGCTTTGAAAACGCTAACGCTAAACGCTGCCCGTAGATAGCTTTTTCAAAACGCTAATGCTAATTGCTAACGCTGTTCCCAAAGAGGCACTTAGTTGGGGAAAAGAGATGGAGAGTTATACCATGCATGAAATATTTGGTCTAGAAATTAACTCAGTAAAAACAAGATTTTCACACCTAACAACAGTTGACTTGCCATTTCTTTCTTTGCATTACCAAGAACTATATATTAATTGTATCCAATCTTAGGACCAATTCTTAGTTATTTATTTACATATTCTTAGTTATTACCCCCTCCGTTCCTTAAAACAAAGTTATGTTTATAAATATTGTGTTTTATCAGTACTCTCCCTCCGCCTAAAATGTTTGTTACATTACACAAAACGAGGTGAAATTTTAATTAATTACAAATCATTTTATTTAAAAATTGTTATAGAAAATAAAAATAAAATTTACACATTGAAACCAACATAAAAAATTCTCTAAAACAAGAAGTTCTAAAAATATTTATTTTATCAAATAATCGATGAAAACGTACAAATAAATAAAAGTTCCCGAAATTTTTAAATGTTAAACTGTGATACAGAGTATTTTTTTAGACGTATGGAGTATTACTCATTGTGTCCTAAAAATCATTCATCTTTTTCTACTCAGTAATTGGGTTGTTCATCAAAAACTTTCTCACTTTTTTTGTATTACTCCATATTTTTCTATTTCCTTTATAAGAAGGATAATCACACAAATTTTAGGTTTATTAAAAGTCCTAACAATCAAAAATACAAATACTCTGAATACTCTATATACTCTGTATGAAACAAAGTATTGGTTGCATTTGACTAAATACTTTGACATCATAACATTAAACACATTTGACTTAAATTTATATTTTAACGCGTATTTCTTTTAATTAAACTATACATGTGAGCCAATGTCGCAAAATCTTTATTAATACTTTCTTTGGTCTTAAAAATCTTTTCTGTTTTGATTTTTTGGTCAAACAGTGACATTTTTTAATAATAAATTGTCAGAAAAATATATATCCAATTTGAATATAAATACAACCGTACCTCAGGCATCCCGAAACACCAACTTGTTTCTTAATTACTCACGTAAAACACAATATTGTATTTCAGAGCAGGCCACAAACGTCCACATACTTGGGAAGTGAAGTCCATATAAGAGCATTGACAATGACAAAGCAAAAATGAAATGCCACACGGTGACATGGATTATTTCAATCAATAAAAAATAACCCAGTCACCGTGTGGCAAATGAGTGGAATGTCGTAACATACAGTGGCAAGTCGTTGTTTTTGTCTATTTTTGCACTTTTTAATGATTTTTAATTATAAAAAAATATTTTAAAAATCTATTTTATTATTAAAATATGTTTACTTCTTTTAAAAAATATTTTTTTTTCAAAAATTACAAATATTAAAAATATAAAAAATAAAAAATGAGAGAGTCATGCCTTGCACATGGAATGAAAAGTGGGGTGGAATGATCATGGAATGCCATGATTTGAGTGGAATTTGCTGACATGGCATGGCAAGGCAAGACATTGTCTTGCCATTATGAATGCTCTAAAACGGGTCGGGCTGATCCGACCCGAAAGGGAAGATCCGTTCTGCCAAAGTAGTGGGTGAGGTAGGCGCTAGAGTTAGGAGACAAGAAGGCGTCCCAATAGCCATTGGCCCGCGATCCAATTGGGTTTAAGGAAAGTGAATCATGATTCCCTATTGATTGTCTCCTTGATATTACAAAGTGCCTCTTCGACGTTTAGCTTCGTCGTTTTGGAAGGGACTATATATGCAATGATAACATTTAGCTTCAGCATTTACATAATCACGTGGTTGAAAGTGATACAGAGAAGAAAAATAATACGAGCCATAGAAAGTTTTCCGTTAATGGAATATGAAACTTTTTTCGAGACAGACAAAAAATGTAAAATCTTTTTGCGAGACGAAGAGTATAATTCTCTATATTTCCAGATGATTGAAGGTCATCAATTATAAATTATTAATCCAAGAAAGAGGACTTTATTTATGTGGCAATAAAGCATACTATTTTAGGTGAGGCAAAACTGAAGGATTGGTCAAATTGAATGTTCATAAGTCATAACAAAGATTTTTACTTATTTACAAGTCATAAATCTCTTTTCCTAGTTCTTTCCTGTGGTAATAATATTAATTATTAACCATCCCCACAGGCCACCACATTAATCTTGGTTAGTGGATCACCAATAAAGGAAAGTTATCTAATTACAATTATTATTTGAAACAATCAAATCTCACTTACAAGACCATTCCTAGATTTGTGCTAATCATTTTCTAGGATGCTAAACATGCATCCATGGTCCCTCCCTTGTGCTATACTTCCTAATGTTTGATTGTTAAGTTCACAAACTTTCCTAATGTTTGATTGGTAACCGTCCGGAAATTTTTCCCGTTTGACTTTTCATGGTCAACATTTTAAACATGCGTAAAAAAATGCATAACGACGTAATGTAATGTAATATCTGCAAATTTATTTCGAAAATAGCTCTAAAATATCAAATTTTCAAAATATAAAGATAAATAGTAAATACAGTAGTAAAAAGTCAAATAAATAAGAAAATTTTTGGACGGAGGGAGCAAAAAAACGACCTTACAGTACGAAGCGCGTCCGCATTCAACAACACGTGAAGCTGCAAATTCTCATACCGAATTTCGATTCGCAGTTTGTAACAGCGACACCGCCATTTGTCAGAATAAATGACAAAGCATCAGAAGTATCTGGAATGGGAAGCAAATATCAAATGAGAGTAATATAAAATAGATAGTGATGTTTGTATGCAATACAAAAAACATATGCTTCATTATAAGTCTAAGGAATAAAAAGCAAAGAGAACTTTGCAGTTTGATAGATATGGCTCAGCTGGTGGATGCACCCACCTCTACAGTGTTAGAAACTAATAATAATAATAATAAGTCAGCCCTTTGAAGCTGACATTCATTCTGAATTGGAACCTAATCAACCAAACCCCTTATGCTTCCCAACACTATATAAGAAACCCCTCCATATCTCTTCTTCCTCACAACCCCAAGCAAATATTTAAAAAAAAAAAACAAAACAAAACTTCCGTTTCCCGGAGAAGTTGAAAAACGGAAGCCATGGACCGAAACATTGTGAAGCCCTTGTGTGTTTTCTTCTTCTTTGCTTCCCTTCTTATCCTCGCTGCTGATGCAACACCGCCAGCACTTAAGCAGCACCAGTTTATTGTATGACATATATATAAGTTTTAACTCTATATGGTTTCTTCATTTAGGGCTAGTTTGGTAGTTCTTATTGGACGTTTTTCCTTACCAAACAGGCCCTTAATGATTTTCATTTGGTTTTGGCTCGGTAACGATATATATATACCTAATGTGAGTTGTTGTGTGACAGATTCAATCAACCCCAGTGACGAGGCTGTGCAATACGCGCAACACGATAACAGTGAACGGGCAGTTCCCGGGACCCACTTTGGAAGTGAGCAATGGTGATACCTTAGAGATCAAGGTTATCAACAACGCGCAATATAATATCACCATTCACTGGTAGGTTTACAACCATAATGCAAAGGACTCACACCATCCTAATAAAAGAGTCTTGTTTCGAACACCTTTCTTTATAAATTACAGATTAAAAAGAAAAGGTCATATTTGCTCAAACGAAACTAACATTTCATGTAATTCTCCAAAAAGATTCATAAACTAATTATGTACGTATGATAAATTTTTCATAATACCAACAAATACTATTTCAAAATATGTGTAAAAGTAAGGAATTAAATGGTATAGCTTTAAACATGTTATTTGTCCCTGCGAATGTACTTTTTGTTCCATAAAAAGAGTCACAAAAGGATACAACTTTAATTTTACAAAGGTATAACTATATATTGAGAATCACTTCATATACCTGTACTTTAAAATTCATTTATTGTTTTCACTAAATTTAACAGATCCATTTTTTGTGACATTTTTTTATTTAAAAAGTTAGATATTATAAAAATTAAGCTTTTTGTTCAAATAGGAGCCTTTTTTGGGACGAAAATAATTTTTGTTTAATATTATTTACTTCCGAGCAAACAATTTATAACATATCTACCTTACAAGAATTAAATAGTTGACCTCACCTCGGTCATATAGGACTTCATTTACACAGAAATATCTATAATTATGAAATGAACAGATCTTATAGAGACTGGATCCACAAATTCCAAATGAACTAATCTTAATTTTCTCATATTTTCCATTGACATTTGCAAAAAAAAAAAGGCACGGCGTACGGCAGATGAGAACAGGATGGGCAGATGGACCAGAATTCATTACACAATGCCCAATCAGGCCAGGAGGGAGCTATACTTACAGATTCACAATTAACGGCCAGGAAGGGACCCTTTGGTGGCACGCCCACAGCTCGTGGCTCAGGGCAACTGTCTATGGAGCTCTCATCATCCGTCCAAGAGCGGGCGAGTCATATCCATTCCCTAAGCCTACAAGAGAAACCCCCATTGTACTTGGTAAGTGTCCCTTTTTAAAGAACTTCACACATCGACTCAATACAAACAAACATCTCATATCAACTATGTCCTACATTGACTAAAATATAAGTATACAAACATACTAGAACTTGTGTTACTCTTCTATTAGGTTGACCTTTTAACATTAACTTTAGGTATAAAAATATAGCAATAGATGCAATTGGGCCCAAGGAAAAAAAATGTAGGGACAAAATGGAACCACACTATGCCTGTTGGTTCATAGGTCCTAGGATTATTGGGCAAATTAAAGCCCGAACTTGAGTTATACATTGGCTAAAGGCAAAATAAAAGCCAACCTATATGACATTAGGCAATTACTTATCGTAGTTGACCTTATAGGATGAGACTACTAGTCGTAATATTTCTAAAGGGGAACTTCAAAAATGATTGACTGAAGCATGATGAAAATGGTGCATGATCAGGTGAGTGGTGGGATGCAAACCCCGTCGATGTTATAAGGCAGGCTCAGTTGACCGGAGCAGCTCCAAATGTATCAGATGCATTCACCATCAATGGCCAACCTGGTGATCTCTACAAGTGTTCCAGCCAAGGTAATGAGATGTATTAGTACTATTAAGGCTGTGTTGGAACCTGGAAATTAATCGTTTTACTATATTTTGATATAGGAACTGTGGTAGTCCAAACAAACTCTGGTGAGACCAGCCTTTTGAGAATTATCAACTCTGCACTCAATCAACAGCTTTTCTTCTCGGTAGCAAACCACATACTAACCGTGGTTGGGGCTGATGCCTCTTATGTAAAGCCCTTCAGAACTTCAGTCATCATGTTGGGTCCCGGCCAGACCACCGACGTCCTAATCACAGCCAACCAGCAACCGGGGCGATACTACATGGCAGCACGTGCATATGCAAGTGCACAAGGAGCACCGTTTGATAACACCACAACCACAGCCATCCTACAGTACCAGAGCAGCCAAAGAAGCCCGGTTCTCCCATCTCTACCTGCATATAATGACACGGCAACAGCCACATCCTTCACGACAAGTTTCAGAAGTCTGAGGAATGTCGTGGTCCCTACTCAAATTGACGAACAACTCTTTATCACAGTTGGGTTGGGACTCAATAACTGTCCACCTGGTGCAAGCCCACAGAGATGTCAAGGACCAAACGGGACCCGGTTCACTGCCAGCATGAACAACGTGTCTTTCATACTCCCATCTAACTTTTCCCTTCTTCAGGCACATCAACAAGGTATGGATAAAATTCAACCTTGGGTTCGAGAATGGAGTTGGGTCAAATAGTTCTCTCTTATTATCACTTAATTACCTTAACCAAACAAAGCACAAAATAATCAATACATAGTATAATAAAGTGGCAAATTTAACTTGATGCCATATAAACTAATATATCTCTTTAATATTTCAATGCGGAACTTTATATTAATAGGTATCCCGGGAGTTTTCACGACCGACTTTCCAGCAGCTCCTCCTGTTAAGTTTGATTATACGGGTAATGTGAGCCGGTCGCTTTGGCAACCTGCTTCTGGAACAAAGGTGTACAAACTGGCATATGGGACCAGAGTGCAGATAGTTCTGCAGGGAACAAGTATCGTAGCTGGTGAGAACCACCCAATCCATCTTCATGGATATGATTTCTACATTGTTGCTGAGGGTTTTGGAAACTTCAATCCACAAAGAGATACTGCCAAGTTCAACCTTGTGAATCCACCACTTAGAAACACAGCGAGTTTGCCAGTCAATGGGTGGACCGTGATCCGGTTTGTTGCTGATAATCCAGGTGAGATTGACAAATCGAACAGTTCCTTGTTAAACTTCATTTTCTTTTTTTCATCAACAAGGGAATGTTTGGAACGAGGATTTCGGACAGGGAGACATTGGATAGTTTAGACTATATCTTCATAACTAGAAATAGAATATTTCTAGAAAACAGAAAATAAAAGGTGATAAATTGGTATACGATCACATATTATAGACCAATCCCATAAAAGCTTTCCCCTTCAGGTTCCAGGAAATCATTTTTCCAGAAAACATTTTTTTCTAGAGAATACATTCTGATTTACCTCTAGCACAGGAAAACATTTCCCTGTGTTTGTCTTGAACTCTCGACACTTGGGGTTTTTGTGGCAAACGGCATCCCATGTTCCTAAAATATACTCCGTAGTTCTGTTTTCTAATTTTGTTGGTCGAATATTATATTTTTATAATACACCTAGAGCAACTTATTTTCCACAGAACATTTCGCACAAAAAAATCCATTGATATTGATGATTTTTATAATTATAGCTCATAAATTTGCATAAAACAGGAGTCTGGATAATGCACTGTCACTTGGATGTCCATATTAGCTGGGGTCTGGCCATGGCTTTCATAGTGGAAAACGGGGCTACTGAATTGGAAGCATTAGAGGATCCTCCTGAAGACCTTCCGGTCTGTTGAGTATCAACAAATGACGAAGATTATTCATATTTTCATGTATTTTTTGCATTGTATTTTTGTCACTATGAGATAAAAGGTGGAGAAGTGTGAATCAAAGCACTGCTCCGTGATGGTAACCTTTGTATTCTTTGTAGCATCATGATTTCAAAATTTTACTATCTCTGTTTTTTAATAATTCCTTGTGCTTAATTCCTGAAGTTGTAACAATTGTTAGCACTTTATCTTTTCAATTGAATATACATCAGTTAAAATGTGTTTATTAAGGTTGCTAAAAACAAGAAAAGAAAACTATGTTTCAAATAATGCTTCATTGGGATTGAGGTGAACCAGAGTAAATACAACATATCCATTATAATGTGAACTGTGTTGGGATCTGGGGGTCAAAATGTATGCAACCTTACCCAGTTACCCATGTTAAAAACAAAGAGGTTGTTTCCATTAGACCCTAGATGCATTGTTGATTTAGAGTCCAAAACTTCATAGAAAGTAAAGCAAGGGAGACTCAACGTATCATTTTGATTTAGTCCATTGTTTACCGAACGCTAAAACGTTGTAAAAATTAACTCTTTTAGCCTCAATGGAAACAAGCACTATATTCTTAAACTAAGGTAAGGTAAATCATTCACATTTACTCAACATAATTTACTCTGTCTTCTTTACACTCAAAACCAGGGCAATTGGGGTGAGTGTCTTATCATGTGTTGTTTATTTTAATTCACCGCAATCCAAACAAGGTTAAAGCGTAGTTCAACAAGCTAGTGCGAATATTATGCCGACAATATACTCCCTTCATTTGTATATAGTATTCGTGATTCAGTTTACGATTTTGGAGTGAAACCTATTTTCCAGTCAATTGTTCTTGTGTTTATTTAAAAAAATAGTGTAGAGTTAAAAATAGAATTTATATATTTAAGGACTACAAAAAATTCTACAAAATAAGAGATAGACATACTATTTCCCATCATTGAATGATCAATGAAAAAGATTTTCACATAACCTAAGTTTTTGTTTTATTTTATGTTCACCATAATCTGGATGCACGTTAATAGGAAACGAGCATAAGAATTAGAATGAAATAATTCGATGAACTCTCTTTGAATTCACAAACCGGCAATCTGACAATGGAGAAAAACTTTACACAGACGAATTGTTGAGTAAAATCTGCAGAGATATTTATTTAGAAAAATGCAGAATTTATCTTACTCTTCGGCGCCTACGGTAACTGAAAGAATGAAAGGCGATACTTTCTTCAAATTCTTTCATCATAATGTAATTGAAGATTTTAGGGGTTTCAGGAATTGAAATGTACGAAGATCCGGTAATGAACGGGTCAATCTTGATCAGGAGCAGTTCAATTTGGGCTTTGAATATTATCCAAATGTTTCTCTTCTTTCTATGTTTCTCTAATGTGATTGTTTAAAAAAAATTTGGGGGAAATGATTTTTTATTCTAGGTTTTGTGTTTCATTGAGGAAAAAAAATTAGATAATTTTATTTTTAATTTCATACATTAACCAAGTGGTAGGAAATATTTTGTTTAGAGAAAGAAAATATTTTCTTTCAAAGAGAAAAATATTTTACAAAGTTTTTGTAAGTTTGAAGCTCCATTGGCTAGCAAAGTACGTCCTGTCCACCCCGTCACTCCAAATAATATGAAATTCAATATCAATGTAAAAAAATCATGTTCATTGTTTTCAATATGAGGAAAATTACTACTTCATTCATTCTTAAAGAACTACTCGTATCTATTATTCTATCTCTCTGAATTTACATTTTTTTCCTCATGTTTAAGGGTCGGGGCAATCCGCGACGGTCCGTGATACTATCGGAACCTATCATGGATCGCTTTTACGGTTCGATATCGGTACGGTTTGAAACCCAAAACCATTCGATATCATTCTGTGTTGAAACGAAACAGTACAATACCATACTCATGCTCAAACCGTGCCAAAAAAATGCATCACTCAAAAAATATTAAAATAAAACATAATTTTATATAATAAAAAGCACAACTTTGTTAAATAGAAGTATTGATTTTGAATTTAAAAGGATTATAAACACAAAGAATAAAAGATAACGAGTTCAAATTAAAAAAAAAGATTTTTTCAATAAATACAATATCAAACTATTAATAAGTCCTAAAAATAATGGTAATAATAGTAATAAATATAACATCAACCATTATAATGAAAAAAATTTAAGAATAAATAATGCGATACAAATGACTTTATATACGCTAAGATGAAGTAGAAAAATAATTATTTGAGATATTTCGTATATAGCTTTGAACGGTTCGGTCCGTGACAATTGATTTTAAATATTTGTATCACGGTCCCGTCCCGTTTGATATCGGTTCAGTTTTGGTCTGTGATGGAAAAAAATTAATCATGTTTAAAAAATACTATAAATAGTTTGATACCATTACGGTCTTGTATGATACCATTCTAGTTCGGTTTTTTTGTCCATCCTTATTTTTAAGTGAGGTCGGCTATAGGATAGATTTGCCAAAAATACCTTACTAAAAGACAAAAGTATGTGCTTAAACATGAGAAATGAGAAAAAATATATTTTTAGATACATTTTTAAATAAATGTGAACAAATATATGTCTATTTATTAATTTTTAAACTTTTCCTTACTATTCCATATTTATTTTAATTTTTTAAAATTTATTTTTAACTCTCACATGTCAATTGTATAGCTCATATCCAAACACAGCCAAAATTTATAGGTCAATTAAAGTTTGTTCATGTACATAAATACCATTAGACTTTTATAAAAATCTTCTAATAATAAGCTCTAATAAAATTTATATGCCAGCTCTACCTACGTGTATAAAGTCAAGAAAACCTTGATGGATGGTGGTCTAATCAACCATTCCGGAGTATCCAATAATATTTGGAGTATAAATTTAAGCAAGTTTTTTCTAATCTTAGCTAAACCAATAATAATAAATTAAATGTGCATCACACACACACAAAAACGTGACAAATAATTTGGACCTTTTCATTTTCTCGTGTCACTGTATAAAATAGGTAACCGACATATTGTTTGCATGTACTTTTGAGTTTTGAATCAATTTCACAAGTGAACCTGTAGATTTAAAAAATGATTATTGAGATTCGATGTCTTACAGTAATCCGGATTCTAATTACGACACCTACAACGTTTCGTTCGAAAAATTGATAGTTCTTATCTCTTCTAATCTTTTCACCCTAGCCCGACTTGAATCCACCCACATCCGTTTCAATTGTAGACCACAATGTTTAGTTGACTCCAAAAGCAACTAAATTTTGTGGGCTGCAATTGAAAAATGTTAGGAGTAAATCAATTAGTGTGTACTCCAAATGCACACTAGAGCTTATTGGCCACACAATTTTTTACCTATGGATAAAAAGATTAGAAAGTTGATAAAGAATGTATGATAGAAAGACTAGGGATGTACAAACGGGATGTACCTCTAGCATTACTCTACCTTTTAAGTATAGTGACATAAATACCACTATTAGCACTATCCCCATTACTCTCAAATATTGATGGGCAAGGTTCCCATGACATTAGTTCCCAATGCCATGGGAACCAAGGAGAATATTGATTTCCTTTGATTCCAATCCACCTTTTTTTTTAAAATTGTGACTTAGAAATTAAAAATCTAAAATACCCTTTATTCATTTCAGATTTCATAATTCATTTTATTATCACTCATCAAACCAACTATTAGCGTGTTAATTTGGTATGCGCACTGCTTGTTTGGTAATAGCCTAATTGTTTAACTTTAATGTTTCATCTAAACAATGTCGAATTTTAGATAATTAAAAATATATTCAGAAGTGAAAACATTAATACAAAATATTACTGGCAGCAGAAGTGATATTTCAGCCCCATTTGACATCAACGTTAGAGATTATCGTTAGTGCTTTCATAATTAATCTACACCATTAAAATTTTATCTAAAACGCTAACATTAACCATCGAAGACGTTGTTCCCAAACAAGGCCTTTGAGTGGTCTTGCCTCAACACTTTAATTGATTTGATTGTCTTTTTTTCTCCATTTGTAATTAATTAGTGTGCTCTTTTTCCCACTTTATCTTCCACTAATTGATCATTAGTCCATTCTTCAACCAATGCCTTTTTGAGCATGCAAGATGATGCTTCCTTCCACTTGATACCAACCTTCTTTACATAGTGCACTTAAATCTGTCCTACTTTATAGGGGTTCATTTATGGCGCCCACAGGATTTTGAAGAATTTGAAGAACAACTAATTACCACAAACAAGAGAAAAATCTAGAATACTTTATTTTTTAAAAAAAGAAAATAAATTTAAGTTGTTATTTGTGGTGTTAAACTTAGTGCTCGTTTGGTGAGTTTTGGAAGTATGATAATATGTTACTTTTGAAATCTGTAAAAAAATGATACGAGTTTTAAAATCTTAAATAGTTACGGAGTTCTTATTACTTTTCCTAAATGGAATCAATTCAGATCATTAGAAACAGTTTTAAATATAACTACATTCAGATAAGATTAGAACGTATTACAATTGAATAATACTCCGTATCAATTTTTTAGTTGATCAAATTGAAAATAAATCAATTTTTTAGTAATGTTTTTATTTTAAACGGAAATACCAGCCTTTACCATTTTCCAATTATATACCACCGCCACCTTTACTCTTGAAATTATTAAATGTGACTTTTCTTGTTGACTTTTGATACTCGAGTACATAAATTAAATGCACTGTCCTTTTCCACATAGTAATAAAAAAAACTCATAAAAGCACTAGATTTTTTGCAATACGGCTTGTTTGAGTGAGCGAACAGCCAAAATTATTATTTGGCTAATAACTTTTTCATTTGACATTTTGATGTGAAAAGCCAAAATCTGAAATACCAAGGGGAGTAGATCTTAGACTTGGTTGTTAAGAAAATTAATTTTATTTAAAGTCATTTTTCTTGAAAAATACTCCCTACGTCCTAAAACTTTCTTCCCAGAGCACTATTCCAACTTCATGGAAATTTATATTTATTTGTGTTTTTTCATGGCCTATATGATAAAATAAAATATTCTTGTCACCACTTGTTTTGTTGAACTTTTGATATAGTTTTTAAATATGTATGTTTTATTTTTTATTTCTATACCAATATTTAAATAAAATAGATTGAAAAAACTTGGGATTTTTCTTCGTTTTGCGAACCGGGAAAAAAGTTTTAGGACGGAGGGAGTATTTTATAATATATGTAAAAAATAACAATAAAAATAAAAGTTAAACAAAATAAATACTAAAAAAATAAAAAATAAAAATTTCCAAAAAATGAAATGAGAAAATAAAAAGTAAAAATCATTAAAAAGTTGTATATTAATAATTTCTTATGAATTAAATGAAAGTAAAATTTAATACTCCATATACTCCCTCCGTCCTATAATGTTCTTCCCGGTTCTGTTTACGAAGTTTGACCGACTTTATTTTTAATTCAATTTATTTGATTGTAAGTGTAAAATTAAAAAAATAAAATTTATATATTTAAAAACTACATCAAAATTCTACAAAACAAGTGGTAAAAAGACTATATTATTTTATCAAATACCTAATGAAAATAGTTAAGAAAGTGATTAAATTTTGGCCATGTGAATAGTAAGTGGGAAGAACATTTTAGGACGGAGGGAGTAGTAAAGATTTAATTTTTACATGTAAAAAAATAAAAAATAAATATCGTGTGTGTGTGTGTATATATATATATATATAGAGGAATTTACGTAAATAGTACTAAAACATAATGACTTTCTCTAAATAGTACTACATATGTTTTTTTTCAATGTAGCACTTTTAATCATTATTCATTAGTCATTTTTCAAATAAATGTTTGTCATCAATGGTCATTATGGACATTATTAAGTAATATCTAGAGAAGAAAACAATCTAAATGCTATTTAGAGAAATGAATTAAGTTTTAGTGTTATTTACTGCAAATATTTCATATATATATATATATATATATATATATATATATATATATATATATATATATAGGAAAAACTATTTTCAAACATCTAATTTTATCAAACATTTTTAACGATCAGTCAATTCATCCTGCCGGTCAAACTAACTGAACTAAATCGCTATTCACAACAGCTTGTAAAAACTACCAACAACCAACAGCTGACTTCCAACATCCAAATAAGACCATAAATAAAAATAAATATTCAAATACTTTTATATCTTACATTAAGAGGTGTACCAATTTAATATTAAAAGAAAAATATGAGACAGAAGTAATACTCCATCTCTCATTCTCTCGGATTAAAATGTTCTATATTTCTTTATTCTTCTATCTCCAAAAAAAGTTTGACTAATTTTTACTTTTGAAAAAGAATTTGCAATCACCATTATAATTTCTCTCTTCTATGCATCACACTTTCAATCACATAATTTCACATAATTTCACAATCCTTAATGACAATTCAAAAATTGAACTTTTTTATGAGAAGGAGGGTATATGAATATATGATATATACTCGGGTCATGCTACACTTACACCACAAATTGTACCCCATTTGTACACCGCAGTTATACACAAACATTTTGATGGTTTACACCGACACAAGTGTTGGTGCGTTAACAAAAATTTACACGGACACAAAGTGTTGGTGCATTAACAAAAATTAGTTTTACACCAACACAAAGTGTCGATACAAACCTGCGAGGTACAAAGTAGGGTACAAAAGTTGGGGTACAAATAGCTTTATCCTATATACTCCATCCGGTCTTAGGAAAATGCTAGGGTGCCATCACATGGGTGCTACCATGGGCGCACCCATGCTTCGCACAGACAATTATCGTCTGTGTTTGTCTGTGCGAAGCATGGGTGCATCCGGTAACACCCATGTGGTGACACCCTAGCATGGTCCTCCGGTCTTATATGCCACCACGTACCAATGATTAATTTATCAATCATTATATATCTAATTAATAGTCCTTTATTTACATATATACATATGTATCTCTCTCCCTGTCATGTATATACACGCAAAACCTCATTTATGTTGAAAAAAACATATAGCCCAGAAATGGTGAAGCTAAATAGTAGCAGGTAGAGTGGCACTTAAGTTCACACTTCATTACAAATCAAGAAACCACTGCACAGAGGAAGAAGAAGAAGAAGAAGCAGCAGAAAGAAGAAATATGGCAGAAAGAGAAGAGTCCACAGAGATGATGAAGAGAAACATGAACCCAAGAGCGGTGATCGACACCTCGCCGCCGTTCGAGTCTGTCAAGGAAGCCGTGGACCGCTTCGGCGGAAGCGGCCCTTGGGTTCCCCACCACCTCCTCCGCCTCCCCCCTCTCGTTGTCCGTACTACTTTTTACTGTCAAGTTTGTGATTGTAGGTCTAAGAAAGTTTTTATATTCGCATGTGAACGTTAGTTTTTTTAAAACTGGATTTTGGCGACTTTCTTTTTTCGGGCCAATACGGGTTTGTCTGGGTTTTGAGGCATTGGACCGGACCGATCTTGTATCCCGTTCCCGATCTGACCGCCTGGTCCGGTTTTAATAGTATTTGTTTTGAACCCGTGATTTTTAGATCAGTAAGATTCAGACATTATGTTAATGAATCAACTCAACTACTAGCTTAGGCTATTAGTAGGTAGGTTTAAGAAAGATTTTGTATTCTGAAACTATGGTTGTTTAGCAGGATGATCCCGAGGCGTTATTGAACCTGGACAAAATGGAAGAGGAAGCGGTTCGATTCGAGCGAGATTTGATGGTGAAGGAGAAAGAAGCGCTCGACGTTTTGAAGGAAGTGGAAGCCGCAAAGCGATACGTGGAGGGACTGAAGCTGAACTTGACTATGGAAGAAGTTGCATCATCGTCAGCTTCTCCCATGTCAAACTCAGGGTTCAGCTCGCCATCATCTGGACGGTTGCCTGGTTTTCCAGTTCAGTCCCCGGGCAACGTCCTGATGGAGCTGAACCACGCAAAAGAGGACCTCGACAAGATGTCGTCCGACCTTTCGGTCATCCGATCCTCGGTCGAGTCGCTCAATAAAAAAGTGACGGACGGGAGGCAACATCAATATATGGATATAGTTGATGATGATGATGAGTGGGATTTGAGCTTTGAGTCCGAACAATTCAAGAAAATGGCTGAAGCATCAAGTTATGAAGTTATGAAGGCAGCCCTTGAGATTGAACGAACTAAGGTATATTAGATTTGACTCCCAACAGTTTTAGTCATATGCTACGCATAGTTCTGATTATTATTATTGTTATATTATTTTATATTTAAACAAAAAAAAGGAAAGTATGAAGATGGCGGAGATGAGGCTGGCTGCAGCGAAGAAGATGGAGGAGGCGGCGAAAGCCGTGGAAGCCATAGCCATTGCCCAAAGGAAGGCTCTCTTGAGAAAGAAACACTTTTCTATGGCCTCTCCAACTAAGGGCACAACTGTCCCATATGTTAAACCCCACAAGACCCTCACTCAAAAGGCTCAACAAGTTGAAGACCATTGCAAGACCAAGTTCGTGGACTCGAACGTCGAGGTCGTCAAAGCCCTACAAAAACAAGGACAGAACAACAACAACAATAGCCAGCACAAAGAAGAAGTGTTGGCAAGTGAAAGGAGAACAAATGGAATTGTAGCAGAGTTTAAGGATCCAATTGTCAAAGAACCAAAAACGCCCAAACAAAAACCAGTTCCGGTTTTCGGGTCAACCATGTCGATCGGGGACGTGTTGAACAAGCGGGTGAGCCCGACAGACGACGTCACCCAGAGACAACACGTGTCGTTCAGCCAAATGCTGCGGGGGCAGAGCGGGGCTGTGTTGGGACCCACCAAGTCCCCGAAAGGCGGGAGCACGCAAAGGAAGAAGTTTGGGTTCATACAAGTGCCACTCGCTAAGCAGAACAAGAAAAGAGGCCAGGCAATGAACAGCCTGGTTTGATTGCCCATTGTTCAACTTATGAATAGTTTTTCTGCTAATTTCATATTCAAGGGATGTATTTGGGATGATGTTCTCTACTTTGTGGTCTTGGCTAAAACTAAAAAATAATTCACTTCTATCAATTTTTGTAGCAAATAAAACTTTTTTTTTCACAAGTGATTTTGTGCACCACTTTGTAAAGGAAAAGAAGACATTTTAGTGCATTTTAAATCATATATAATGAATGCAATGCTAGCCTTGATTTTGGTTTGTGTAGATCATGGGACTCATGAGAACAGTTTGGTGAAGAAGTTTCCAGAATTGGGTTTGTTTTGTACACAAGCAACATGGGCATATCTTCCAAGTTTGTCAACTTGTCTTTCTTCTCCCTCAGTGTTCTTCTTGCAGATTTTGCATGTTTTGTCAACCCACCCCTCTTCCACATACTCCCCATCCACTGTTGTCAAGGGCATAGATGGTATTTCATGTCAGATTGAGGGAGAAAAGTAGTTCTTTCTTTCACACTATGTTTGCTTCAAGGATTTTGAAAGGGAAAAGAAAAGAAAACAACTATTTTTTGTTTGGTTTGAGAAGAAAAGTAAGAAAATTGGAAAGAAAATGCACTAAGAAGAAGGAAAATGATTTTCCTTCCGTTTTGGTTAGGAAAAGAAGAGAAAACCTCTTTAGTTTCCTTTCTTTTCGAATTCCACGAACCAAACATACGGTTAGGATCGAGAGATTTGAAAAGTGAAAAGTGCATGATTAGAATGTATGGAAATGAGATAGAAATCTTGTGAGCTATATGTTAATTACTAAAAAGGAAAATAAAAAAGGAAGTGTTTTTTGGGACGTCTAGAGAAAACAGAAAGTTGGTAAGTTACCATCAACATATGACTTGAAGAAATCTTTGTAAGTGCCTCCAATCTTCCTTCTCAGAGCTCCATACTGCAAACATGATTTTCAACTTTCAAGTAAGTGTTTTGGTTCCACTCTGCTTATAAATTGTTTCCCAAATTCTATCTCACTAAGGTTGTTTTGGCAAGATTCTTAATTCATAATGCATGGCCTCAAAGAATGTTAAACAAGACATAATTTGTGAATGATTCCACAGTTTAAATTAATGGTGCAGATGAACTTTCAAAGTAGTGTTGAAACAGAAGACTATGGTGTTCAAAACCATCAAACGAAACCAATTCAATCAAAAATTCAAATTCGTGTTCGGAGGCCATAACTAGTTCTCTCCTCTACCAAAAACAAAACCTGTTACAGCAAACAGACTCAAAAATGTGCTGAGAAAAAAGCCCAAACAAAATGGAAAATGCTACAGACAGACACAGTAATTGTGTGTGAGAAACAAAACCCAAATTGAAAAGTTGGTTACCTGTTGTCTGGACATTCTCCCACCAGATTGAGTGGCCTCCTTAGCCTCTTCAAGAAGCTCCCCATCTTTATCTGATCTAATCTGGGAAAAATCCAAAGCTTCAATCAAATTACTGAAAAAAGATTCTTTCTTCTTCATGGATTCATCATCAGCATTATCCTCTTTCTTGGCTGAAACTGCCAAACAAGACTTCTTCTTGCTGAGATCTGTGCTGTGGACACTGTTACAGAACAATCTTGACAGGTTTTTTGCAGACCCTATGCTGGGGTGGTGTAGGACCTTCTGTGGTGGCGTTAAGGGCAGTGCCCTTGACCCCATTTTTTTTTACCTCCAATCTTTTGGGGGTACCCTTCAAGAAATTGAAGTCTGTTAGGGGAAGGTAATGGAGGGAGAGTAGTGGGTTTTGGATTTGCTTGGGATGGGTGATTTGTATGGAAGAATTGAATGGTTTAGGAATGAAAACGTGGCCCTATTCTGACCATTGAAATTTATGAGATGAGATTTGATTATTGCTTTCAAAAGCTAGATTATTTTTGATATTATCCTATAATAACAATTAAAATCAATGTTAATTGAACCATGGATTGAAAAACAAACCTCATAGTATCCTTCTTTCCTCATAATATGCACTAATTTTGTACTCAGTAGAAACTATGGACAGTAAAAAAAAGAAAAATCATGTACTCAGCAATTAAAAGAAAAGCCATGCCAAATCTCCCATGCACCCAAAAGGGGTTGAAACAAAGATATGCCATTCAGGAGGGCAATTTTGTACATCTACACATCAGTGTCTTTTACTAGTTGATCTCTCTCCCTATGAGTTAACATTGTTGCAACATTCAAAGAGGAAGATCAGAAGTATCAAATTAAGAGAGTGACAAAGAGTAAGAAGAAAACTCTTTTGCATTTACATCTCATCACACAACATATACCATCCCGACCTCGAGCAGCGACACCGGCGGGACCTTCAACGACACGTCGGGTCCCCGACAGTTCCGCTTGAGGAGGTTATACCCGAAGTTGATGGCCAGCCTCTTGAATATGGATGACCCTTGTTTGGTTCTCACGTGCGAGTGCCCGAGTATGAACGCCATCCCCGCTTCCTGCGCTTCGTGCAAGTCCCGTAGCTCGTCGTGCAACTGAACGTCCATCTCGGAGGGCGGGTCGTCTTCGGACTCATCTACGTCGAACCTCACCCTCCGTTGCCCCGTCTCCGGTCGCATCTCGATGACGTCCGTAATGCTCTCTGCCGTCGAGAAACCGACGGAAACGCTCTCCGGTTGGGGGGTCTCCTCGATCTCAAAGCTCGGGAATGCCAGCGTTCCAATCACCGCAAGTCGGCACTCGCCCGAGGACGCGCCTGACCGGGACTCACCGTCGTCGGGCGAGCTGACGACCCCGTGGGCCCGGTACCAGTCGTACCGGATGAAGTCGGCGAGCTTCCTGACAAGCTCCGTCTCAAAGAAGTCGACGTCCTGGTGGACATCCCGGTACCCGTACCGCACGATGCACCTGTAGGAACGGTGGGAGGCGGGTCCCACGCGGCCAACGAGGTACCGCTCGGCCGGCGGGATGAAAGGGACGGGGACGGCTTTCACGCAGATGAAAACGAGCACGCGGTGGAAGGCAGGGAGGTTGGTGACGAAACGGGAGAAGTTTGCAGGGATCCCGGAAGTCAGATCGCTGAAGACGACGCCGATCCCAGGGACCCGAGCAATGCCGAGGCTCGGACCCAATGCCAAGAGCCATTCAAGGGAGACCTTGTTGTGGAGATCGTACTCGTATTTCTTGATGGTGGCGTAGTGCCAAACGAACATAACGGTGACCAAGATGAGGGCGAGGAGGATCGGGAGCCAAGCGCCTTCCAAGAACTTAATGACAGAGGCGGAGAAGTAGAGCAATTCGATAGACCCGAAGAAGATGAGAAACACGAGGGCGAGAATCGGAGGCTTATGCCAACAGAGGATGATGACCAATGAGGTGAGGCAGGTGGTCACCAGCATCACCGCCATCAACGCCAACCCTGCATAAAGGACCATGAGTAACCTGATTCTTTCTTGTGTAGTGGTGTTCAAAAATCTAGAGGAAGCCCACATCTAACACCACCTTTGACACCATAGTGTCTCGACACACACAAACAATAGCTACTGTCTGTGCAGGGAGTGTCTATTCTCCCTGTGGTGTCAAAGGTGGTGTCTATCGTCGGGTTCCTCTAGCATTATTGATTAGTGTTTTGGGATACTAACCTGATGCATTTCCCAGATGCTTGGTGTCCCGGAATCCGATAGTGACAGCAACGCAAAGGACCATGAGGATCCAGTTGATCTCCGGGATGTAAACCTGCCCGTGTATGTCATTGGAGGTGTGAACCACCTTGACTCTCGGGAAGCAGCCGAGCGAAAGGCTCTGGTTGATGATGGAAAATGTCCCACTGATGATCGCCTGGCTGCCCACAACAGAAGCTAGAATGGCCACCACCAGCACCGGCCACCTCACCCTCTCTGCATTCAAACACCCCGTAGCGCATTAATATGAGTGGTGGACAACTTTAAAAAAAAACAATTAGTTTTATGTTAGATTAATAACTAACCAAGCACTTAATTAACAATCTTTGTCAAGAATACTGTTTTTTTTCGAAAAGGGAGGAATTTTGGAGAGTCGAAAGGGCAAGAGTATGGAAAAATACCCGGAACCGACAAGTAGAAACTGATTTCATGGATGTTGTGATGATGCTTTGATAGAAAAGCTGCTTGACCCATGTATCCCAAAATGAGGGCCGGATAAACCAGAAAGGTGAACGCCGTCTGAATTGCAGCATATGAGAAGTGGCCAAGGTCTGCAAACATTGCTTCTGATCCTGCAAAACAATAGAACCCCACTAATCACAAATGTCGTTCCCAAACGAAGCCAGAGATTTTAACACTCTCGGTGTGAACATTTAAGTCTTCTTCAATGCTGGTTTTACCTGTTATGCACAAGAGAACCCCTCCCAAAGACATCCACCCACGTTTTCTGGTCTTCTTCAAGAACTTGAACATGTAGTATGGGGAAAGTGCCTTGTAGACTCGCGTATTCCATTGGAAGATATTGTACAACCCAAGTGTGCTTATGCAGAATAGCCACGCCAACACGATGGGCGCAAAGACAAACCCAATCCTGTGGGTCCCGTAGTGTTGTAACGCGAATAGGCACACTAGTATGAAGCATGTTATAGGAACCACCGCATCTGAATAATAAGGTTGAGAAATGAGAAGTCTACCTCTAATACGGCCTTGTTTGGAATGATTTGATGATCGGAATAAAATTTGCTAGAATTGCAAGGGAACGGAGAAACGGATATGAGAAAAGATTATTTTTTTTAGGTAATAAAATTCTTACACTGGTGGTGATCCTTGGACATGAAGAACTCAAGCCCAGAAACCGCAGAAAAAACTGCATAATCATATGGTTTTGCATCAGCATTACAAAGAAAAATTACTCCTACTACTGTTACTAGTAATGATGATGGTGATGATGATGATGGTGGTGATACCAGATATGGCTGGAGTGAGCAGACCATCTCCAATGACCATACAAGTTCCAATGAGCACAAGGATGAGTAACCCCGTGTGCAGACATTTGTACTTCTCAAGAACCAATTTCACCTTTGATTTATTATTCGTCTCGGGAGGTTGCTCGCATATATAAGTAGAGAGTGCCTCATCAGAAACTTGTCTGTTTGGAAGGACACTCACTTTCGCATGCCTACATATCAGGGAATAGAGAGCAAATGTGCCACCTGCAACATAAAAGATGAAGGGTGTGTTTGGATCCTTGATAAAATAAATTTCAAGGAAAATTATTTTCTTATGTCTAGCTTTACATTGAAAATGCAAAAGAGAAGGAAAAATGATTGAATTTCTATTTCTTTATATATTTATACTGACTAATAAAACATTAAAATGGATTAGAAAAGTGAAAGGGAAATTACCCTCTCCATTGTCATCAGCTCGAAGCACTATGAACACATACTTGAATAAAGGGAGAAGTGTTAAAGTCCAGAAAACAAAGGACATAGCACCAAATATTTCTTCATTAGTATCCGAATGCGTAATGTCTTCTGCAAATGTGCTCTTGAAGACATAAAGTGGGGAAATGCTGAGATCCCCATAAACTACACCAAGACTTTGATATGCTAAGAGCAATGTTGTCTTCCAAGAGTTCTTCTGCATTAAACAATTTATTTAAAAAAAACAACAAGAATCTTTTAATGTGTGTAACAGAATTACATAAATTTTTGCATGTTTTTATGGTGAAAATTTCCAGAAACTCCGTGTGGGATAAACAATATTTTTAAAAAAATTATGTGTATAATAACATCAAATTTGTGAGCATTTCTCCTGCAATAAACAATAGAATTGATATGTTTTCATGGACAAAATTTCCAAGATTTCTTCTGCAATTTTAAATTAAAAAGAGACAAAAAAAAACTTCTGGTGTAAATAATAAGTATCAAATTGATATGATTGAATGCTAATCCAAAGCACAGACCTTTGCTGTGTCCCAACACTTGCCATAGTCAAGATCCATATATTCTCCAAAATCTTGTTATTGACCAAAGGCTTCAACTTGACAAGATGACTGCTTTGTCAAAGGTGAATGAGATTCCCTCCACAGAATCTTAATTTCTGCAAAGAAAAGATAATCCCAATTTATACCCTCTAGAATGAAAATGACAGAGGAGAAGGCAAGGTGGGCTAGTGATTCAAGAAGCCCACATGGCCCATTTGTGATATCATTCTGGCATTTGTGCTAAATGCAGCTCAAGAATTGCACTTACAGCTAGCAAACCTAATTCCTTAACTCCAATTTAGCTCTGGGTCACTCTCTTTCTAAGGTGGATTGCTGTAATTGATGATATTACTGATAACCCCCTCATTTCTTGCTTTCTTTAACTAGCAAAAAGATTGTGACTTTCAGCATTATATAGAGGGCGAGGAGGACGAGGACGAGGAAGAAGACAAGAAAATGAACAGAAGTGTTTGGATTGTGAAAGCTAAAAGAACCATGTGTGTGATTCAACAAAAAGTTTGAATTGTCATTACAAATCATACCAAAAAGGTTTGAGCCCACATAAATAAATGACACTTTTTTAGGACAAAAACACAAATATAGTAGGTATACATATACTTATATATATACATGCATAAACTCAAAAAAGTATAGGTGTATCCCTAACTGGAGTGAGTGGACTGCCAAACTTCTACCTACCTGCCAGAGGGAGGCTACAAGCACAAATTCAAGACAAAGAACAGCACAGACATTTATATTTTGTACTTCAATGATCCAAATTGCAGTTTTTTTTCTTTCTAGAATCCTTTGGACAACCCTATTCCAACCAAAGAATTTATTTTTCATAAAATATTCAATCATGTCATCCAAATAAGTCCTACCAAACACACCCAAAAGTCAGGATAGAAAAATGAGGAATCCACAAATATGGGCTAGGCTGATGAAATTGACCAAGAAACTTGTGAGTGAGTAGGCTATATGATTTGGGTGGGAGTCACAAAGACAAAGATCTTCTCCCACACCCATCCATTCAAGATTGTGACTCAACAGTCAACACTACACTTCTTTTGACTCACTTATGCAGATTCAATAGACCACACAGACTACCAAAACAAATCTGCAGAAAGGTAATAGAGAAAATGGGTTGAAAAATCAAGAACTTACCAGAAATTGGAAGATGTGTATGTCTTGAGCTCTATGACAGCTCAGAACAGTGCTAAAATGGCTGTTCAGCTCAAGAAAACAAAAACCCAGAAACCATAAATGGGAAAAATGGGAAAAAGGAAAAAAGAAAAAAAGGGTTAGAAACACATCAAGATCAGCAGCAGTGAAAAAAAAGGCTGGGATTAGGAGAAGCAGAAGAAGTGGGGGAGAGTATACATTCTTTATTGAAGGAGTTCCACGTGGTCAGAGGTGGGGCCCCCTTCTTCTTCAATCACCACCATTGCCGGTATGGGAATGGTCCCTAATCCCTATCACAGTGAATCACTGCTTCCACGTTTTATTTACCCATTGCACATTTCAAACTCTACTGTTTATTTATTTTTTTCCTTTCTCTCTCAGCTTTTTTTCAACTCTCTGCAGATTTCTTTCCTCCTTCCTTCCATGTTCATCAAAGCTTCAACCTTTTTTTACGTGTTTCGACTGAAAATTTGGAAACCACTTAGATTAGAGTGACGCCGTAACGGTACACATTCTTCTTCCAGTTCCCATTAAAGCATTGTTTGACATTAATTTTGGAAAAAGCAAATACTCCCTCCGGATTGTCTTCCCTATTGAAATATTGATAATTGTGGTTTGTGTAAAAATAAAAAAAGAGAATTACTATGAATCACATATTTGTTTCGAAGGAAACAAGAAAAAATGCTGGGATAACCCAAATAAGGAAGAAGAAAGATGATTATAGAAAGAATGGAATATTACTTTCTCTCATTAACCATCGCGCTCATTTTGAAAGATATTTTTTTTTTAATGGGATTCATCCATTTTGAAAAAAGCAAATACTACCCTATCACTTTCTGAATCAACTTTACTATAATCACAAATTTAAATATCAATAATAATTCATTCGTCCTTACAAATATTTCTCCTTTCTTTTAATCTTTGTCCTAAAATCATTTTCTTCTTTTAATTAAAAAATTATTTTTAAACTTACTACTTCATTTGTACTAAAATGATCTTCCCAGTTTGATTTATGAAGTTTGACTAAATTTATTTTCAATTCAATTTATTTGATTAAAGGTATAAAATTAAAAAATAAAAAAAAATATTTTAAAACTACATCAAAAGTTTTACAAAACAAGAGGTGGCATAAGAGTAATTCTCAACATATTTATCACATCATATCTTTTTACTAATAATTTATCTATCACAATCTATTTTACCCATCACATCAAGTTTTAATTTCCATAATTAGTATCTAATTAATTAATAATTAATTATTAATTCTAGTGTACTAAAATGCCCTTTATATAATTTTATATTTACTGTTCCATCATGTTCTACTGTCCTTCGCCGGTCGTCGATCGTAAAATGCCGACATTAGTGTCCTGCCGCCACTCCATTAATATCAATTATGCATGATTTAATGGCTTACGTGGTTTCACTTTAATAATATCTAATATTGTTATTAATGTCTATATGTCAATTACCAATTACATTGTCGGTTTAAAAAAAAATATTGTTGCAGTTATAAATGTCCACTGCATTAGCCATGAATCTTCCGATCAGTAAATAATATTCATAATTTTTACAATGTTTTATGTTCATAATTTTTACAATGTCCCGGATCAGTGAACACTGTTAATAATTTTTACAATATTCATCAAAAAGAAAATATAAGCAGACGAATCAATAAAAGAAGGGATCGGCCAAATGGAGAAAAAAATAGTCTATATTTTATACGGAGTACATAATAATTAAGATACAAGGGTGTTCTGGTAAATGTATATCATTAATAATTAATTAATTTATTAATTTAATGCTAGTTTTGGAAAAAAAACTTATTAAATGCCATTTAGAAAAAAATGTATTAAGTTTTGGTTCTACTTTAAGCAAATTTCGCACCAAACTACTCCATATTTTAGCAACAAAAATACTAGAAATACACAGGATTTGATACCAAGGTTTAAACTGTCAGTGATGAGAAATTAATAGAAGTATCTATGAAGTAAAACAAACGTTTTTATTCGTTTTTTATAATGTGCTAATGTGAAATATAAGGACAAAAAAGTAATTACACCGTATAATACTTTTCTCTCCAACCCTTTCTTTTCTCCCTTCCCCAATTCACCCTTTTCTCTCCCTGTCTTCATTTTCTCTTCAATCCAAAAAGGAGAAATTAAAAGCATTGGAAAATATAATGATTTTTTCTCTCCCCAATTTTCTTTTTCGCCAAATTCTCTCCATATATATAGTTAGATTTATTTTTTGAAAAATTTACCTAAATAAGATTAAAATATAATGACTTCTTAATGTAGAACTATATATTTTTATTTCACCATTAATCATTATTCAAGTAAATGTGCATCATCACTAGACATTATTCCTCCTACTAAACATTATTAAGTACTATTTAGAAAATAAAAAAATTTAAGTCCTTTATTGAGAAATGACTTATGTTTTAGTCTTATTTAGTACAAATTTCACTTTATTTTTATCATATTCTAAAAAGTTATACTAATGGAGTTGGATGAACATTTATATATTGGTTTGATTTTCGTTATCAATTTAGTGCGAGGTACGATTTGTTATTCAACCATCCGTCCTCAAATTAAGGATCACACAACTGGGAACATTTTCTTTAGCCTTAATTCCTATCAATCATCTTGAAGAAAATTTTACCTAAGTACGACTAGAACAGAGAAGTCATTACAGAAATAAGACATCTTATACTTTTATACTGAGTTCCTTGTCTCGTGAGGCGTTTGTAGAGAGCCATGGACTTTGTATTAGCTCTGAGTCCTAGAACCCTAAGTTCATTATATTAGCACGGAGTCTAGGGACCACGAGACCTTCGTCCTGGTCTCGAGCCTCTTGACTCAACCTCTGACATCGAGCTTCGGTCTCATCGGGCTCGACGTCAGGCACCAAGTGTTTGGGCACTCTATCTCGAGCCTCAACCTCGGGTCTCGGTCGGTCCTTGTACTCGGCCTTTGACCAAATTTGTTCTACTCTTATATACGTGAAGTTCAAATATGTTTGCTCTTTTCCAGAGTTAATTCGCCATTAATTTCTAATTATGTAGAGTGAAATAATTATTAATTGAGATTAAAAAAAAGTGCTTGAACAACTATATGTCCATATCCCAAACATGATTAAAGTGTTCAAAGTGCCTTCAAATGGTTGGCATTCCCATTATAATAACTACATGAACCGTGTTGAAACTTCCAATCTTACTCTCTTTATCAATGATAAATGTGAGATGCTCAATTACAAAAGAACTAACTGTTTATACTTTGAACAAATATATAAGAGAAAAGTTAAAAGAAAATTTATTTAAATATGACTAAAACATAATGATTTTCTTAATATATGACCAGATATTGTTTTCCCAATGTTGGATCATTATTGGTCATTATCCATTAGTCATTATTCAAGTAAATGTCTATCATCACTAGACATTATTTAAGTCATATGTTAAGACATGACTTATGTTTTAGTCTTATTTAATGTATTGCAAATTTTACAAAAGTTAAATACTCCGTATATGTTTATATATATAACTAATACTCCGTAGTAGGGTCTTATTTATGATGTTGAATATAAATTGACACTTTTGTCAATGATTCCACGCACTTTTGTCAAAAAATAATAAAAAAAATGGAGAAAATCACTATGAAGGGAAATATATTTTCTCAAATTGAATGTTCCAAATATAATTAAAACAAATGGTCCATCAATGTTAATGTCTGGAGATTTGTTCAATTTGACACTTTCGAATCGAACGCGATTAATTTTAACCATCAAGTCAACTACATTAAATTTGCAATATATATTAATATAAAAACAAATTTTGAAAAATCTTCTATAAGATAAATTTATTGAAATTATTTTTGTAAAAATACACAATATAACTTTTATTTAATTGATGAACAAAATTTATCCAGTTTAACTCAAAAATTCAAATTGAACAAATATTCCAGGGCGTAGTAGTTTTTTTGTGCAATACATGAGAGAATATAGAGAGTAATGATATGATACATTATGTTAAAAAATATCTCTCTGTTCTATAAAAAAGTTCCATAAATCTTTTCCAAAAGGACAAAAATGTTGGAATGCGTGGGAAAAAGATTTAGCAAGGGAAGTTGCGCCTTACGGAGGGCGTAGCTTAATTGATCGAGAAATTAGTGTTATGTGGATAAATTTAGATCAATTTTTTTAAGTATGAGATTCTTATACATATAATGATATATATAATGAAATAGAACTCATTTTTTTATTAGACTGAGATTATAACTTAATTTGTCACTTCCTAATATATTCTTCATGGCATATAGAGGTTGGAGTTCAACCTTTTATTATCTGTAAATTTGTAATTGATACTACAGGCTTGGCCCATTCATCTAGGAGGCCGAGAGGGCCCATAAATCTTTTAACCCATTGGAGATCCATTACAGGTCATTGAGTATTTCAACCATTGTAGAATACCAAATACCATGCGAAATTACAAGCGTTTATAATTTTAACGCCTTTTATTTAAGAAATAAAAATACAAGGAGTTGTATTGTAATATTGATTATATTTTTATTTCAGTCTTATGTATTTAGATACATCATTCATTTTTGCTTATTCTTCTTTTTTTTTATAATACACGGTAGTGTTTGATATCAAAATTGAGACCCTTCAAAAGTTTGTCCAAATTGCCAATTAGAAGGCACAACATCCTTGTTTATAAGTGTACTTCCATCACCTATTGTGACCTCAAATGAAAGGCTTTGCCCAATCAAGACCACATCACTTTGCCAATTTTGCCCCCAATTTCTTGACATTTGTAGCCACCCTGTTTTCGACCTCTTGATTTTTAGTGCGCGGACGTCTCCTGACCCTCCAACGTTACTCACTAACACTAAGTTAAAGTACATGTGCCCCTTCATCGTGAATTTCATTCCGCCCTTTTTCTTGCATGGTACCCTACAAAGACCCAACATATAAAATTAAAATAGTCATATTCATCTTTTGTTACAATTAAGGGATATGCTAGGGGTACACCAGGTGTACCCCAAATGTACACCACTTGCTTCTACACCATTCATTTTATTTTTTTATTTTTTACTTTTTTTGAAATTTTTTTGCCTTTTTTGTGTGGTGATGGAGGGGGTGGGGATGTTTGGGGTACACCTTTGGTGTACCCCTAGCATTTTCCTACAATTAAACATCTTATTTATCCTTATTTTTGAATATTCACCTTTTCATTATCTCTTTTCAATTTATTATACCACAAAGCACAAAAATGAAAAATCAAATCCTTTTTCATCTTAAATTTAAAAGTGTATTGAGTTATGTTATAAGATTTTTTTAAATGATGACAAAAATTTATCCGATTTGAATTAAAAAAAGTTAAACGGGAAAAATACTCTATGACAGAGATAGTACTTTTTTCATCTAGTATCTTTCTTTTCATTTGACTTTTTTTATCATGACCATAATATTTGGAAAAAAAATAGTTACCCATTTGTAAACACTGGCTTCAAAAAAATATACTCCCTCCGTCTCAAAATATGAGTAACATTTCGAACGACGTGTAAAAAATCATCTCTTTTAACATTATTTTATAAGCCGATTAATAAGGAAATAAAAATTACACTATTCAAAAATAGATCAAAAATTCTACTGATTATTTTATATACAGATTAGTAGGAAAAATAAAACAAGAATGTCTTTTTTTACCTGCGGTAAATTACAGGGACAATTCCGGCCTTATAAATGGCGATTTGCAAGTAGGCGGGCTGGGACAGGTCGAAGTGTGGCCGTGGAGGGTTGCACCAGCCGCCGTCATCGTTGGGCAGGCTCGGGTTCGGCGGGCAGAGGTCGGTGGCGGTGACGGTGATGCCGCCCGGCGGCACGCAGTTCCGGCCGGTGCACCGGAGCTCGTAACATGAGCCGCAAGCTAAGCCGTCGTTGAAAAGAGTGGTACTCAGTGCTGCAATGCTTGTACCGTAACCTGTCTTGTACAAGTCCCCGTAGCCACATGCTCCCCCTTGCATTTAAATTTTCTCAAAATTATGCCCAAAAAGATTTTCATAATTCAGAATTTAAAGATCACGAGAACTTTTTCATTTATTTGTGAATTTTAATTAATTATTTGATAAAATAAACTTTTCCGTCTCAGTTATTAGTCCAGTTTGACTTTTTTGAATCAAACTAGACAAACTTTAATCATCACTTACTCTAAAGTTATATTTCATATTGATACAATAATTTAACTATTTAATAATTCTCAACGAGATACATCTATTAAAATAATTCTTATACTAAAATATATTACCATTTTTTATTTAATTGGTTTCTATAATTTGACTCGAAAAAGTGAAACTGGACGAATACATAGAGACGGAGGTAGTAATATTTTTATCATTTTTGTTTTATAAAACTTTTGATACGAAGTATAATTTTAAACAAGCAAATTCTATCTTTGTTTTAAAATTAATATTTAAATAAACAGCAACAATAACCTGGTTGGATCTCACATGAATTGAAAAACTTGAATTTCTTTTTTTTTGAATAAAACATGAATTTTTAATTCGTTTTGCACAAAGTGCTATTTATTTATTTTTTACAAAAGGAGTATAAACTTTTCAATTTTTTAAAAAAGCTTTTTAGATTTACTTATTTTGAAATTTGGACCATTTTTAGTGGGCCTAGACAAAAAAATAAGGTTCAATGTAGGTCCAGGACAGGAGTGAATATGGGGGACGGCCTTGTGGCTCCGGATACCCAAGCTTCTTGAAGAAACGGGCTTCGTATTCCCAACCCGCTCATAAAGCAAAAAAACGGAGTTATAACCAAGACCCGACCCAACTCGGCCCAACTCTTTTTTAGAACATAGATATAAGAATCTATTTTCATTTTCGAATGCAAATATAAGAAAATATGGGAAAATAGAATAAATAAAAAAGGAAAAATAATACGGATTGTAATCTAATTTTTTTAAAAAAAAACCCAACAAAGTAATGAAAAAAAGCAGACATAACCTAAAATTTGACTAAAGAAACGTCATAAAATTATATTCACATATTTGGCATGCACATATATCCTTAAATTAATATGCATATATGGTGAGCTGAAAACAATTAAACAAATACTCCCTCCTCCAAAAAAATGTCACGCTATTTAAAAATTATAGAATCTTTTATACCTACCACTTAGAGACTTATTTTTTTTATATCAAACTTTAATATAATGTGGTAGAACTCAGGATTGGAAAAAAGCTCAATAGATTTGGCTTTAAGACACTTGAGTTGAATCACATTAAAAGATTGAATCCAATCCAGTACATAGTTCATGTCAAGATCTTATATACTGATTATTTTTCTCTTTAATTTTCGACAAGGAATACTCTCTAACACTCCATCTTAAGTGGAAAATATATAGGGCCATTTCGAATTTTACTAGTTTATCACTTGCAAATGAATTTATCTCCTTAGAACGAATATTTGAGCGGCAACAACTAAAGGATCGCGAATAGCTGGATATGAATTTTCACACGAACAATCAGGGTTAAATGAGCCATAAGCCGTTTTGTATGCATTCTACACAGACAACTAGACAAAAGACTACAGCTACTAGAAATGAAAGTATAGACAGACGCATTAACAAACAAGGTGGGTTAAAATAGCAAACAAATTGAATTAAAAAAGTAAAAAAAAATCACTTCGTCTTGCGTAATGTAACAAACATTTTGGAACAAAAAGATGGGATTAAATCAAATTTAAATCAAATAGAGATGGAAAAATAACAATAAGTAATTAAAATGAAAAATAAGGTGTATTTATATATATATATACCCATTGTGCCAGAAGCATCACTGCCTCCATAGAAAGTTGCATGTGCAGACTGCCACTCTCCATAGTCAGCACCACAAGTTATATGGATGAAGGTTGATGATGAGAATAATATCACAAAAATTAATAATAATATTAATGGATTAAAGAATAATGTTGCAGCTGGACTAATACTATTAATATTAAATATAATACTATTCTTATTGTTAGCCATTGAGGATTGATGATTAATTAAGATCAAAGAAGTGTTTAACGTGTAAGAGCTAGGGATTATATTAGGTATTGGAATAATTAAGGTGTAAGCATGCATATATATAGAGAGAGAGTGGGCAGGTTAATTATTACTCTAAGTACAAGATATGTGCCATGTTTGATGTCATTTTTATTTGTGGTTTACATGGAAAGTTTGGGGTATGATATTTTAATTTATTCTTTTTAGAAAATAACATTGAGATGTACTTATATTAATCACTCATAGTTGATACTCCCTCCGTCCTGGAATAATTTTCTAGGTTGGGTACATCGAGACAAGAGAATTGATATTGATATGGATTATATATTTGTTTCTTTAACACTATGTTTGGCTCAAGGATTTTGGAAGGAAAAGAAAAGAAAATAGTTTTCTCTCATTTTCCTCACCAAAATGGAAGGAATTTGATTTTCCCTCCACTTGGTACATTTTGCCTCCTCATCTTCTTTTCCTTTCACTTTTTTCCTTTCTTTTCCCCTCTAACCAAACAAGAAAAATGGTTTTCCACTTCATTTTCTTTTCTTTTCCCTTTTAAATTACTTGAACCAAACATAGTGTAAAAGGAATGAAGAAAATTTAATGACAGCCCAAATGAAAGAAGAAGATTTTTTTTTTGAACAAATTAAAGTTGTATATTAATTCATGAGAATAGGCGAAATAAAGTCCGGAGGGGAGGAGATCCACACACCGCAAGAAACATCCGCCTTCTAGCTGAAGTATGAGCAACAACATTTTGTTAGAGGGGAATGAAAAGAAAATTAACAACATTGAACTGCATGCCCAACAACCGATAATCTTGAATAAGCGAACCAAAGTAGGAATGAGAAGTAAAATATGGGAAGTCCATGAGCCTGAAATGCAGAGTTTGAGTGTTATTATTTCCATTTTTTGTTCATTGTAGCCAAACACCAGAAAAATGGAAAATGACTATTGGAAAATAATTCATTTTCTAGAATTCATTCTACTCATTTTCCTCCTTTCCAAACGAGGAGTATTAAAAAAGCGCAGGCCCAATATCATCTATATCCTCGTTTTGAATCCTCGTAGGCAATTACCAACTTATGGGCCTTCTCACAAAGTCTATGCCCAAAAGCTAATAAATCCACGCAATGAACAGTAATATGGGGACGGGACTAGTTTTTCTTCTTTTTTTGGTTTGAAATGTACATTACGTTTTTTCTAATTTAAATTGTTTCTTTACGATATATATAAAAGTTCAAACTTTAACCTTTTTATTCATTTTCGTTCCTCATTTGTTAAAATAATACTCCTTCCGTTCCAAATTATAATGTATGTTCACTGTTCACAGGATCAAATAAACTTCATTCACTTTCTTTATTTATTTTCGTTAACAATTTGATAAAATAAAGTACTTTTATCGCTACTAGTTTTGTAGATCTTTTGATTTAGTATTTTAATATGTAATTTTTATTTTTTAATTTTGTACCATTTGTCATATAGAATGATTTGAAAATAATTTCAGTCAAACATTGTAAACCGAAACTGGCATTATAAAATGGGACGGAGGGAGTACTACAATATTTTCACTGTCTAGTTTATAGAGTTTTTAATGTATTTTGAAATATATAAATTTTAATTTTTTAATTACATACTCCCTCCGTCCCGTTTTAAATCGCCTATTTTAACTTTTGGGCATATTTAAGGAAAAGAAAAAATAGAATTGATTTTTCGAAATTGTTATTACTTTTTAGAAGGGTGACTATGAATTAGAAGATAAGGTGAAGAAGAGTGACTTATTTTAGGGATAGTTTGGGTATTTTATTTTAAAAAGTTTACGATAACAACTAACGGGCAACTTATTTTGGAACGGAAAAAAATGCAAATAGTCAATTTAAATTGGGACAGAGGAAGTACCAATTTTCAAATAAATTTTAATTAAAAATAATTTGAGTCGAGTCTTGTAAAAATAACAAATGATCTAAATTTAAAAAATAGGGGCAACAAATACTCTTTCGATCTAAATTCAAACATACTTTCGTTTTGACTTGCATGATTTAAATGTAAAATGATAAATGTGTTGATTTTTCAAAATTATCCTTCAATCTCGTAGAAAGATGAAGTGGAGTTGGGGGGTCTCACTAAGAGGAAGAAATGTGGTGGGGTAACCAAAGAAAAATCATTTTAAAAAAATAACTCAAACTCTCATACTTAGTTAGATATTCTCCATGAGCACACTAAACTATAAGAGTATCTTTATTTAAAAAGGAATTGTTGAGAAATAGTGATGCAAAAAAAGAGGAAAGTGAGGAGAAGGTTAAAGAAGGGGAGGAGGGGAATGTACATTATATAAGATGAGAAAAAGAAGGGAAAAAAAAAGGAAAGAAAAAATGAAGAAACGAAAGAAAAAAAGAAGAAAAGAGGGAAAAGAGAAGATTAGAGGAGAAAAGGGTTGATATTTTACCAAAATAGGATTAAAACATAATGATTTTCTCAATATATGATCATATGTTTTTATTTTCCAATATAGGACCATTGGTCATTATCTATTAGTCAGTATTCAACTAAGGGGCTGTTTGTTTCAGCCTCTTAATGGTTCAGATGTCTGAATGATTCAGCACTTAATGGTTTAGACTGTTTGTTTCAGCCTCTTAATGGTTCAGATGTCTGAATGGTTAAGAGATTTGCCTCTGAATGGTTAAGTATTATACAGAGTCTGAATGGTTAAGAGTTGTTATCTGAATTGATCAGACATTTGCCTCTGAATAGTTAAGCAATATACTAGCTCTTAATGGTTGAGACATCTTACTGGTTCAGCACTTAATGATTCAGACCTCTTACTGGTTCAGCACTTACCCATTCAGAAGTTGCCAAACAGCCCCTAAATGTCTAGCATCACTTAGACATTATTCTTCTCACTAATAATTATTAAATCGTATTTAGAAAATAAAAAAGTTTAAGTTCTACATTGGGAAATGACTTATGTTTTAATCTTATTTAGTGCAATTTTCACTTTTTACAATGATATGATTTTTAAAATTATTTTTTTATTAAATCTCATTTTTTTGTGTCATGAATATATTTTTAAAACTAAAAATACTCCATAGACTTACATTACTTATTTTAAAATAGCTTATTTTGATTTAGTTTGATAATTGTGTAGATAAAATAAACTTATTATACAATACCAAGATGATTTATTTTTATAAAAAAAATTAAATAGATTTATGACTTGTGGATACACCATTGAAAAGAAGGGAAAGTGTGAGAAACTATTAAATCGTTCAAGAAAACTTAAATGGGTAACTGATGCGACCGTAAAAAAAAGAGATTAAAATGAGCGGAACGAGTAAATGTATTTCTTCTTCCTAATCTACTGTGTGAGTTGTGAAAAATTGGGGTTCTACTTTGTGATTTTAATATTTTTTTAATAATATACTTCTTCGTCCAGATCTAGTTTTTCTTCTTTGAACAACGGTGTAAAAATGTAAAATGATTTTATTTATAAAATTTATATAGAAGTAAACAGGACAAGTTACATATTCAGAAAGTATAAAAAAAATTCAAATAATTAGTGATACGTCGTTTTTATTTTTCAAATGATCAATAAAAATGTATATGTATATGAAAACTATCAAAAGTCTAAAATAATATAGAAGACAATTAATTTAAAAGCAAATTATTGCATGCAACTAAGATCTATGGTGAACTTCCATATATACTAGATAAATATTTTCAGGCGTTGAAACAATAATTTTTAAAAATTAAAAAAATAAATGAAAATGTGTATGTTGACATTAGATCCACCATGAAATTACTCAAATCTAAAATAGAGGGAGCAATATTTTATTTTATTTTATTTTATTTAAACAAATCCTAAATCAGCGCCTAGCCCCAAATTGAGAGATGGGATTGCCCAAACTCACCGGCCCACTTCAATCACCCGATTGGATCACTCCGGTCGGTAGCCCGACAACCCACATTCATCTTTTGTCTCTCTCTCTCTCAAAGAAAAGTGGTTCGTGATTGTTTATTTTTCTGGATTTAAATATGATCTTTTAACTTAGATACTCTCTCTTCCACAAAATCCTTCCGGTTTTGACTTTGGAGAAAAATAAGGAAAGTATAATTTTGTTTGACTTTCCAATTTTGCCCTTGATGTGATGGAAAAAAGTAAAATGGGATAGATAGGGTATGAAAAAGTATGGGTAAAAGTGCTTTTTTAATAGAAAGTGGAAGTGTTTTGTGGAAAGCAAAAAAAAACGAAAGAGAAAGGGTTTTGTGGAACGGATGGAGTAGCTAGTAAATGTAAGAATATAGCTGTGTTAGGGTAAGGGTATGTAATTGCATATTTTTTTGTCTCTTATTAATTCATGTAATACTGGTTTGAGGTAATTAAGTATGTGCTTGTCGTTCAAAAAATACTAGGAAGCATAAAATAAAATGTTATTTTCATTAAATTGAAGGGTTTGGGCCTTGGGGTGGTTCAAATTGGTTTGGGTGTAGATTTATCGTGAGTTAAGAAAAATAAAAATCATCAATTTTATGAAGAATCACTATAGATACATCAATTAGAGCTATTAACAAAGCCAAATTATTTATAAAAAAGGAAAAGTACATACAAAATTAAATATACTACACCCATTTTAGTTTAATTGTGGAATTTGGTTTTTTCGAATTAAATTCGATAAATTTTAAATTTCAATTACTCTAGATATATATTAAATATTAGTATACTAGAATAAAATTTTAAGACTTTTCAATAAGATAAATTATTTTTGTGGCAATATACATCATGATTTGTGTTTATTTCAAACTTAAAATCATCTTGTTTGATTAGAAAAGAATACATACATAAGAGAAAACAAAAGTCAGATAATTCAAATCATTTTATTGAATACACAAAATACATCACATTTCACACTCATTGTGCCCTTAAAACCTTTTTTTTGTAAGGTCTTTAATCACACATGAGTTGTAATTTACTTAATTAAACATGTTTCTAATTAAGCTATATTTCATATATTTATGTATATACCCTTTCTAAAGAGTATAATCCATTAGGACCCCTCCCTTCGGTTTCACCCCTGTAAAAAGTATACAACGTTTTCTACCAAATTACCATTATACCATATCATGAATTAGGAATGTAACTTTACACGTGATGGTATAACGGTAATTTTACAGGCGAAACGGCTCGAGACACGTCTTGATAGTAAAAAAAAAAAGAAAAAAGAAATCTTCAAAAATCAATCACTTCTTTAGAAGTCGTCCCCAGTTTTTTGGGGAATTAGAATTGTGCCCCTTCGAAAGTTTGGCCGAATTGCCAGTTCGGAGGGGCGACGTTGTTACTCGTCACCGTCCTCCCGTCGCCGGTGGTCACCTGAAAGGAGAGGCTCTGGCCGTTGAGCACGGCGTTGCTCTGCCAATTCTGCCCCCAATTTCGCGACATCTGCTGCCATCCGGCGGACCTGGACCCCTTCACGGCGACGGCGCGGACGTCCCCGAACCCTCCCACGTTGCTCACCAGAACCAGATTGAAGTAGGTGTGGCCGTTGATCGTGAACCGGATCCCGCCCTTCTTCCGGCAGGGGACCCGCCGGAAGTTGACGGGGACGATCCCGGCCCTGTAGATCGCGATCTGCAGGTACGCGGGCTCGGCCATGTCGAAATGGGGCCGGGGCGGGTTGCACCAGCCGCCGTTGTCGTTGGGCAGCCCCGGGTTCGGCGGGCAGAAATCGGTGGCGGTGATGGTGATGGAGGAGCCGGGGACGCAGTAGGGGCCGGTGCAGGCGATCTCGTAGCATGAGCCGCAGGCCAAGCCATTGTTGAACAGAGCCGTGCTCAGTGCCGCAATGTTGGTTCCATATCCTGTCCTGTACAAATTCCCATATCCACATGCTCCCCCTGCATTTTCATTATTTCTAATTTAACCCCCTCATTCTGCCATTTTTTACGCAGTTTATTCCGTATATTATTCATTTTTCTTGATTTTTGTAATTTAATAAATAAATCTTGGACCACTCTTGTTATGGCCACCACCCACGAGCTTGAGTACAGGACAAATGTTCTATATTAAAAAAAAACCCATAATTATAATAATTATTAATTTTGAAAACTATAAACTAAAAATTTTAAAGAATTACTCAGTTTTAAATCGTATTTATCGTGAAAATCGTAAAAAATACTTTTATCCCACCTAAAATCGAGCACACCTCATTTTCATTCTTTTATTGTGAGTAAAAATTGTGATGTTCAAAAAACAAAAAACATACAACTATTTTTGGAACGGAGAAAATATTTGTTTTGGACGGAATTTCACTGAAGTAGAGATTGAAATTTACAGAACCAAATTAGAATGAAATTTGAATAATTTGAATTTAGATTACTTGTGTGATCAAAATATAACAATGTAAAAGAGAGTGATTATGATGAGATGGGATAACTAATTCTTGAACCCAACCCAATCATTTTTGGGAATTATTACACCAAAAAAAGGAAAAGGAAAAGAAAGAAGGGTATTAATGGAAATGTACATACCCATAGTGCCAGAGGCATCACCACCTCCATAGAAAGTAGCATGAGCAGTCTCCCAGCCTCCATAGTCACCACAAGTGAAATGGACAAAAAAGCCCATAATAAAAGCCAAGAATAAAACCAGAGGAGAAGCCATTGAGGAAGAAGATCAGAAGAAGGTGTAATGATTATTAAATAAATATTGGTATTATTTTTTTTGGGTGGAGTGAGTTTGGGGATTGGGCAGTTGTGTGTGGGGATGTATTTATACACAAAAAAAAAGATATTGGCAGTGGAGGGACAAATAGTTTCTTGAATGTGACAATTTTGTGCCATGTTCATTTCCTTTAACTATACATAAAAACAAAAGTGAAATTAAAATGAAAAAAACAACTTAGTATAATCTTTTCCTAGCTTGAGAAATTCCACACTTGGTAGGTAAAGATGCCTCTTTTTTTTGCTTGTTATTATTTTTGTTATTCTAGATGATGCTGTATATTTGTATGTTATTATTTTCTTGAGTATAGTAGAGACCAAAGAGTAATGTTTTTTATTTATTTACTTTGTACTTAGGGTATCCTTAATAAAGGTTCCACATTACAATTTACATTGTCAAGTAGTACTTTATTTTCTTACATGTTTTATTTGAACATTCAACAAAATAATATAAATATGTAAACTTTTTTTAAAAGAAGAATTTAAAGAGCAGTTTTTTTAACGAGTGAGTCTTCGAATTTTACAGATTTCTTTTAAAGTTTTATAGTAGCTAGCTTTTAAATAGTTTAAATTAAAAATAAGTGTTGGAGAATCGGGAGGGATAACAACGCTGCCGTGTTATAGGATCGGTATACGAAGAACGTGAAGAATGACTTGATAGATTTAGTGAATTGCATATAAACGCTTTCAAATTATATTTCAGGGTATTTCTAAATACTTCAAACGGATAAAATGTAAGTAATTTAGAACGAGTATGGAACTTCCGTTGTATCTCGAAACATACCAAGGTGCCATATTTATAGGCAAATTCTGAACGGACGTGTTGGTTGATGAAATAACCAACTTTCTGGTAACATACGAATGTTGGTTCTCTAACATTCGAATGTTTAAATACAGATTAGGTTGAACGGTTACTTCTAAAGTTAAGTGCGAACTGTTGTAATTTATCGCGAAACATTCGAATGTATACATTCAAATATTCGAATTTATTGAGCACTTTCCACAAGATGCGCGGGATAAACACACCATTTGAATATATTGATTTGTACATTCGAATGTTCAATAATTTGAACTCCATATACGAGAATCTACACAAAGCAACAATGGTCGGGGCTCCACCCCCAAGATCTCGCCCGGACAGTACCTAGGTACCGTCAGCACGGTAGGCCGTACCGTCGGAACGGTAGGCCAACTACCGTCTCAACATGTTTTTCTTTGGTAGTACCTGATGACAGGCGGTACCCCGTATCGTTGGGACGGTACTTCGGTACTGCTACCGTATTTGATAACGTCTAATCCAATAAATTTTCCACAAATCTGATTTTTGATTAATAAAATCTTATTTTTGATACCATTCAACTATGATCAACATGAAAATGATTTCTAGAAATAAATATGATGTTTTGACCAATCCAAAAAATTTGTGTGATGCATGAAGGTAAGCTACGGTGTTAACATTCGATGCCAGACCGCTATTTGTTATGAAATATTATGATGATATTACTGATTATTGATTATGATAACTGAACCATGATTAAAAAGAAATGTATATTCTGATTAAAATGATGGTTATGAAAATGATGTTGAATAAATAAGGGTATCTAGAAAATTCTAAAATATACCCATGTGACTAATTTAGTTAGACCTTGCAGATATGATATCTGGTGGCCTGGATTAAAACGTACGTGCGGGATCCACAAATCAAACTTGAGTACCAGCTCGTTTGGGGTACCACCCAACCCGACGATGACTAGTCGTTGTTCGGTTTTGAGCGTGATCCAAAGACTCGTATGATGGATCATCGATTCTTTTGTTTTGCCTTAAACTAATATATAGTTTAAGACCCGGTTAGAAATATTGTCTTAGACTAATTGTAGTTTAAGAGCTCACTTATCAATATGAATTTGGTCTTAGATTAAGGGCATGTTCTTTAGGACTGGAAAAAAAGAGCTGGATGTTGGAAAAAACTGGAAGGAATTGGAAGAAATTGGAAAAACTGAAAAAAATTAAAAGAAACTGAAAAAACTAGAAAAAATTGAAAAATCTTTAAAAAAAAATTTAAAAAATTCTGTGTGGTTTTATATTATTCTCATTTTGATTCTTGTTGTTATAAATTATTATTATTATTATTATTATTACTATTTTTATTATTATTATTATTCTTGTTGTTCTTGTTGGTGGTGGTGGTGGTGGTGGTAGTGGTGGTGTTATCACATTATCTTAATGATTGTCTTTAAGATAATAAAAAATTACGAGTATTATTTTTCATATATAAAAAGCTAGTTTAAAAAAATAATTAGAATATAAAATTAGCATAAAAATTACACTTCTTGGGTCATTTTTTCTTTTTAAAAATGTAGTTTTCTCTTGGTTTTCATAATATTATTCTTCTAGACCCTTAAATGTAATTTACCTTATATAAATTTAGATTAAAAAATATTCTATATAATTGTTTATCCATAATTTTTTAAATAGTTTCCTAATTTTTCATGTAGATTAATATACAAAAAAAACAGTATTATTCATATTAAAATGTTTCAAGAAACTGGAAGACTGAATGTGAATCATAAAAATAGTGAGATGAAAAAATGAAATAATTTATAAACTATAGTTATGAACATAAAAGTTGTAATTTAAAAAAAGTTGTAATAATAATAATAATATATTTTTTTAGAGTGATTTGTCAGAAAGTAGAAAGAATTTGAAGAAAATAAATATAGTTTGAAAAAATTAGAAGAAAATGGAAAGAACTGGAAGAAATAGGAAAAAACTGGAAGAAATGGAAAATAAGCTAAGTAGACAACTAAATTCGAATACATATAGTACGGAGTAATTGTTAAAGAGTATCCTACATCGGAAAAGTGTGAGAAAATTAATCGGTATATAAGCTTTTGAATTAAACGTAACTAACTAATCGATTGGATACAATCTTTTAATGTGGTTCAACCCAAGTGTCTTATTACCCAATTCAGTGTTCCATACCTATCCCCATTTTTATCATCAGAGCAGGTTTTGGCCCACCTCGTTTGTCAAGGTGTCCGTCTAGACGTTCATTCTTAGCGGCCCGTTTGTCTTTAGCCCAGTTGTCTGTATGAAGTATGTACTCAACGACTTGTGAATCGTTTAATACGATTGCTTGTTTGGAAGTCCATACTCAGCGACTCGTAGTCCTTTAGGTGTTGTGGCTCAAAAAAGAAAGAAAATCAAGGGAATGAGAGTTCATTTGCAAGTGGTCAACCGGTTAAATTCAAAATGACCCAATTGTCCACTTGAGGGGGAGTGTTTAAGAGCATCCCACATAGGAAAAGTGTGAGGAAATTAATCGGTATATAAGCTCTTGAGTTCAACTAACTAATCGATTGGATTTAATCTTTTAATGTAGTTCAACCCAAGTATCTTATTACCCAGTCCAGTTGTTCATACCTATCCCAATTTCTATCAGTAATATTTTATGCCCGGGAGGCGTTGTTCAATAGGGGTGCGAAAGAGCACAGTGATCGGTCCGACTACTAGAGAATGCAAGTGTGGTATGATTTATGTTCTACATAAAAATCTTTTACCAAGACTAAGGACATACTCCCTCCGTCCCATTTTATAACGTCTGTTTCGGTTTACGATGTTTGACTGAAATTATTTTCAAATCATTTTATATGACAAATGATATATAATTAAAAAATAAAAATTACATATTAAAATACTACATCAAAAGATCTACAAAACTAGTAGTGATAATAGTACTTTATTTTATCAACTTGCTAACGAAAATAGAGAAACAAAGTGAATGAAATTTGACCATGTGAATAGTAAACAGATATTAATCAAAGCTTTATTTAATGAAAAATGCTAGGGGTACACCAATTTTTGTACCCCATTTGTACCCCCCTCCATCTCCATCACACAAAAGCAAGAAAAGAAAAAAAAATTAAAAATATAAAAGGAAATCTATGGCTATGATTATTGGTGTACAAATGGGGTACACCATTTTGGTGTACCCCTAGCATTCCTCTTATTTAATTTATCTTCCCTCTGATATATTATCCCGGTCAGACCTGAGGGAAATATAGGGTGATATCTTTTGTATACTAATATTTTTGAATATTTTTATGAATATAATTGGCGCAAACAATACACCTATGGGTGAAACATACTCGAGGGAAAAAAGGGACATTCTCCTTCTCGCATACACATGTTAGTCGGTATATATATATATATATATATATATATATATATATATATATATATATATATATATATATATATATATATATATATCATCCAATCTCATAGAAAAATGTTACATTTATTTTATTAGTTGTCCCTTCACTCTTTTATTTTTTTCATTTCACAAGTACTCTTTCCATTCTTCCATAACCTCTATTTATTTATAATATCTTTCACTGGTCATTCAATACAATAAAATAATTTGGTCATTTTTTATTTTGTAAGACGTTAATTTACTCCTAATTTGTAAATAAATAATTGCAATATATACATCCAATTGTATAATTTAACTACTCCTCAGGTCTCATGATTATCTTATTTCTTCTTTTATTTTATACTCCCTCTATCCACAAATAAACTTCTTGTTGCGCATTACGATGTTTGACTGGAATTTTTTTCAAATCATTTTATATGAAAAGTGATGTAAAATTAAAAATAAAAATTACATTTTAAAAAACTATATTAAAAGATCTATAAAACTAGAGGTGTCATTACTATATTATTTTATCAAATGAGTGACGAAAATAGGCCAACAAAATGAATAAAGTTTGACTCTAGGAATAGTGAACGAGAAGTTTATTTGTGTGGAATTGTGGACGGAGGGAGTATTTTGTCTCAAAAAAATCTACTCTTTCTTTTTAAGAAAACAAGTACTTCCTCCGTCCCGAAATAGATTACAATATTCCCTCACATTTTTTGTCTCAAAAAGAATTACAAAGTCAATAACTTTACAAGGAATTGACTCTTTTACCCTCCCACTCCTACACTATCCACACACTATTCATCCATGTGAGTGGGAAGGA